AACGTTGCAGCGGACCAGTTCATTCGAAAAGTGTGGGGATCTGCGGGATTGCACGTAGTCCCGCGGTTACGGCGATAATCATAAATATAAAATTGGGACTTTCAACCTTGGCAAGAGCGTTGTATATTTTGTTTATATTATAAATATAATAAATTGTACAATACTACGCTTTAAAAACATAGATTAATGTTGGATAAACGCTCACGAACACTCCGCGCCGCTCGACAAGAAACGTTTTTCTTCACGTCGATGCCAGATATTTTTCTCACGTAGTTGCGCTATGGCCTTCATTCTCCGACATTGTGACGTAACCGCTCGGAGCGCTACGGCCTTCTCTTCTAGGAGGTGTTGCGCGAGTTTCTCGGAACAGCGGCGGCCTACAGGGGAGAAGGGGGTGGGGAGAGCAAGAGAGAGGCTCGCCGTGTGTGAGGCACGACGGGGTGAGGGAGAGCAGCGTTTCTGCTGTAGAGTGGAGTTTTGCGCTCGTACATTTGCATTTTTGCCCGAGAAGGGGCCCTCTGTAAAAGGGGGCAGAGGGCAAGCATGGCCGATTTCTTTTTTACTTTCGAGTTGTTGACAACGGAAGTTGTCGAGGCGAAAACGGACGTTTTTTTCCATCAGACGGGGTTTGCATGCTTAACCAATCGCTATTTTCCTTTCTTTCTTTCTTTCTTTCTTTTTTTTTTTCATGTCTTCAAATAAAACGTTAAGACGTTTCGTGACACTTTCAAGAAGATTTTCAATGTTTTTATATATTATTTTATATATATGTTATCGAAATTAACAAATCAATCCCGAAATCATGCGTGAATTATGATGAAAACTCCCAGTGCGCTGTGCTCTCCATATTTCTTGTCGAATATCGACACTTAAATTCTTGATATTGGTTACAATGCAAGACTTATTACTTTTCTTTCAGGTGCGAACTTTTTTGGCCTATTCGTTTCTTTAAAAATAATGATGTAGGGTGTCAGACGACAAAAATCCCAAAGCGTGCATACGTCATGCAGTGAAATTCGGTAATGGGAGAAGTTCTCCGGTCGAATATTTGTTCTCTTGTGAACGTTTTCTTAAAACAGGTCGCGGAGCATCAAATATGTTTTTTTATATAATTTTAAGCAAGCTGTTTATGTGATTTTTCCTTCGTTAACCTTCAACCACACAGCATGCGATTAAATTTCTCAAACCAATTACAGCCCAAAGCATCTTGGGATTCTCAATTTTTAAGAAAGAAAAATATCACTGTTTTTTTGCACAATAATGTACAGCGCAATCCAAAAATGTCATCGCTATTACACTTTGATCTACACATGCTCACCTTTGATAAGTCCTGGTACGAGTTGTGGATTCAGCTCTGGCCACGACTGACTTCCACTGCAAAAATGCAGGCTCACGAGTGTAGTTACAGTAAAGAACATCATTGCCATTATTACTAAAGTAGAAATTGCTTCCAATTTAACACCGTACGAATAATTTTAGAGTGAAGGAACGAGTTACGCCGGGTTTTTATTCAAAGTAAGAAGGAACCTTCGGTATATTTAGTTTAAGTTTGCTCCATTCAATATAAGTTTATTGTGGCTTAAAAGTCAAACAAGATCTTTCATATTGCCACGCGCGTCGGCGAGCGACCGCGTGTATGGCCGAGTGGTTCGATTATAGGTATAAGTATAGGTTCGATTCCAGTCAGTGGAGTGTTCTTTTATTTTTTTCTTTCAACATTGCGTTCTGGTGAGTTCGAGAATATTCTCGTCTAAACGAGTTCCGAATGTTCTAGTCGCCGAACCTTCTAGACTGATTGTTCCAGAAGCTAACGCGCGTGCATAAGGGGCTCCGCGTGGCGAGCTGCAGTCAGTTTCGCCCCAGCGTTCGACTCTTCTATCACGCCAACTTCGACGCCCGCGACGCTCTGCTTTGTTCTGTTCCCTTTTTATTTTTGGGCGCAAGTTCGCCCCTTTAAACGTTTAGTTCCTTCAGTTACCATCGCCTCATCAATTGTCATTCGTGATATTTTGGTGGAGGTGCAGGATATTGCATTCTATGTCCGTTGAGCGTACCCCTCCGAAGACAACCCGGCCAAGCGACGTGCTCAGCCCTGGAAGACTACCCTTCACCGAAGACGCCGAAGCCCGAAGAAGCCGTCGTACCAGAGGCCAGTCCCCCGAATTGGGTCTCTTGCCCGAGAACCGGAGGAAGAAGATACCAATAGTGACCACACCGCCCGTCGTTGTCCTACCCGGCGCTGCCCGTACGCACGCGTCCTCCCGTGGTGAGCCTTAAGACATCGAGGACTGGCTACAAAAGTACGATCGAGTGGCCCAGCGCAATCGATGGACGGACGAACAGCGCCTGCAGAATGTTTACTTCGCGCTCGAAGGGACGGCCAAGCACTGGTTCAAGAATCGCGAGGCTTCGTTGATCTCGTGGACCGCCTGCAAGTATGTGCTGAGACGGACTTTCACCAACCATTATCGAGGGAGAGGGCCGAGGACATTCTTCGAAGGAGGACCCAGGACGCAAACGAGACCATCACCAGTTTCGTCGAGGATATCTCACACCTGGTCGCTCGCGCCGACCCTTAAGCCACCGACGAAAAGAAGTTGCGGATCGTGATGCGAGGTGTAAGGGATGACATCTTCGGAGGCCTCGTCCGCAACCCACCGACCACCGTCGAAGCCTTCGTCCCGGAGGTGACCAACATCGAGCGCGCCCTCCAAGCGCGCGCTTCCCACTACCAACGACATCTAGGCGTCGCTGCATCCACCCTGTTTAGCGGCTAAACCTCTCCCGTAACCCCGGACATCCGCGTAATTATCCAGGACGTCGTCCGGGAGGAACTCAGCAGGTTGCTGCCAGCCTCGAATTGTCCAGCGACACTTTCCATCGCCGAGGTTCTGCGCGAGGAAGTCAAACGTGCGGTACAACCTGAAATTTCCATCGACGTGACGACGCCAGGAGAACCGACGTTGAGCTACGCCGCCGTGGCCCGACGACCGCCGCAAGCTCCCCACCAGCCCCGGCGCCACCCCGAAGAGACGCACAAACGTCGCAGTATCCTCAGCGTCAGGAGGAACAAGCCCACTACGTCCGCCCGGAGCGACCCTCGACGAGGAAGACCGACGTGTGGCGAACTGCCGACCTACGCCCGCTCTGCTATCACTGCGGGGAAGCCGACCAGATCTACCGCGGCTGCCCCTACCGTCGACTTGGGCTGCGTGGTTTCCACCCGGACGACCCACGCCCGAGGTACGGCGAACGCCCTCGCGACATCGAGGAGTACCTCCGGCACTCGCCCTCCGCAGTGCCGTCTCTCCGCCGTGAATCTCGCTCACCATCGCCACGACGTTCAGCGTCTCCAGCACTACGACCCCGCCGAGAGAGCTTGTCTCCTCTGCGTCGCCGGGAAAACTAAGTGCGGCAACGCCTGGAGGTGGCGTTGCCGAAGACGACCAAAGTAAAGAGCCTCCAACAACGCTGGAGCACTCCCACTCTCCCGACGCCGCGCATCGCAACGACGCCCCTGCAACGGTGTCCAACAACCTAAACGTTGTTATCGACGGCTACGACGCATCGGCACTCGTGGACACCGGAGCAGACTACTCAGTCATGAGTGGGAGGCTCTCTCGCCGCCTGCGAAAAGTTACGACGCCGTGGGAAGGACCACAAATTCGAACCGTCGGAGGACACCTTATCACGCCTTTCGGAAGTTGCACTGCTCGCGTCGAAATTCACGGCGAAACGTGCCCTGTAAAATTTATCGTTCTACAAGACTGTTCCAGAGATATCATTCTCGTCATGGACTTTCTGTGTGAATACGGCGCCGTCATCGACCTGGGTGAGAACAGATTGACGCTGCGGAAGCCTCTTCCGCCTTCAGAAAAATCCCAAGCAGCGTCAGCCGCCGTCCGAGTCGCCGGCGACCACGTGAACCTGCCGCCGCGAACAAGTGCTGTCGTACCAGTCGTGACCGATACAGCTACCTGCGGCGAAGTTGTCCTGGAAGGCAACCTTCAATTGCTCCTGGGGAGAGGAATTGGCGTCGCACGAGGCGTAACGGATCCCCAAGAAGGACGTACAACCGTTCTCGTGACAAACGTTCGAGGGGAGCCGCACCACCTAACGAAGGTTACCACCGTGGGCCACGTCGAAGAGCTTCAAGCGCCAGCCGTCGTCACCACAATCTCTAAGAAACCTCGTCATCACAGCAGAAGAGCACGTCGCCGCCGCAGCTCGACATCGGCTCTGAGCTCCCAGCTCCTAAGCGCCGGCAACTGGTTGGTCTCCTCGCCGAATACAGGAATTATTTTGCCACGTCGTCGAAAGTTCGCCTCACACCAATGGCGAAACATCGCATTATTACCGACGACGACGCACTCCCTGTCCACCGGTCGCCTTATCGAGTCTCCTTAAAGGAAAGGAAGGTGATTCCAGATCAAGTCCAGGAAATTCTCCACGACGACATCATTCAGCCCTCAAGAAGTCCGTGGGCGTCCCCGGTCATCCTTGTAAAGAAGGAGGACGGGACCCTGCGGTTCCGCGTGGACTATCGTCGACTAAACGCTGTGACGAAGAAGAATGTCTATCCGCTCCCCCGCATCGACGATACGTTAGACCGACTGCGCCACTCCCGATATTTTTCGTCGATGGACCTGAAGACTGGTTAGTGGCAGATTGAAGTCGACGAACGCGACCGTGAGAAACCTGCCTTCGTCACTCCCGACGGGCTGTACGAATTGAAAGTGATGCCGTTCGGACTTTGTACTGCACTTTAGTGTCTACTGTAGTGGAATCTAGCCATAAATCTGGCTTGGTCGGTCAACTGTAACACTTTCCAAGATGGCTACCCGTTGCTGTTTCAATCAAGGGGATTCCTTCCCTTTTTCTACACCTCCAACATTACAATGGCGACGAGGATGCGTTAGAACAACGCAAAAACCGCACAGCAGCGATTTTGAACCGCACGGATCCCTCCACACTCAACAACGGACATCTTGTTTGACGGGATGGAGCAGAGCACGCTCCCCACGTTTTCCTTCAACGCGTGTGCCACTGACGCCAATAACGTCGGCACCGAGTGGTTGAAGTGGGTGAGACGCTTCGAGAACTTCGTGGTGGCCTGCGGCATCACAAGTGACGCCCGTAAGACCGCTTTGCTGCTACACTACATCGGGCAGGAAATCCATGACACCTACTGCGCGCTTCCCGAACCTCCCGCGACCGCACCTGCGGCAACAGCGTCAGCTGTCTCAAGCACCGCTGGCGAAAGCCTGCTCTACACCGCAGCACGCAAGAAGCTGGACGCCTACTTCGCTCCAAGGGTCAACACAACCTTCGAGGTCTACCGTTTCCGGCAAGCCAAGCAGGTAGAAGGAGAGTCCCTTGACTCGTTTTACGCCAAGCTACGACAGCTAGCGCGACACTGCGCCTTCGCCGATTCATACATGGAAATCAAAAACCAGATCCTGCTGTCTACAACATCTTCACGCCTTCGCCGCTATGCCATGCAGCATGACCTCGATTTGGAGGGAATCCTCAAACAGGGCAGGATATTTGAGGAGGTGGAGCACAACGTCACCTTGATAGAACAAGGAAGCCAGCAGCAGCCGTACTAGAACACAATGGCAGCGATAGCAGCGAACGCCAAGCCGTCTTCGCACCACCACCCGTCCAGGCGCTACCAGAAAACCCCATCACAGCCTCGTGATAATTCACGCCGTCAACACCCGGATGCAACATGCTACAACTGTGGAGGATCGTGGCCGCACGACGGTGGTAGATCCAGCTGCCCAGACAGAGGCAAGTCCTGCAGGTCATGCCAGAAGGTTGGCCACTTCTCCAAAGTATGTCGGTCTGCTCCAGTCACCGTCCGTGCTATACGCAAGAACGCTGGCTCGGACAGCGACGAGTACACTTTCGCAACTGACACTTCACGCGACATCTCGAAGTCACCGGGAGTGATCGTGGAGGTCAACGGCACACCAGTAGAATTCACCCTCGATACAGGAGCTACTGTGTCAACCGTGGGATCAAGTGACCTGACGAAACTCGGGCTCCGCCACAGCTTGGAGCAAATAGGTGCAAAATTTTTCGCATACGGTGCAGCGTCCCCACTGCCAGTGGTTGGCAAGCTGTCCGTGACCATGAAATACAAAGCTCAGGAAGGCACAGACGAAATCTTTGTTGTCAACGTTGATCATCCAGCCCTTTTGAGTTTTTCTGCAGCCTCACGTCTGGGTTTAGTCCACATCACCTTCAATGTCGAAGACACCCTGACAAAAAAACAATATTCAGCAACAGTACCCCAGCTTTTCAAGGGAGTTGGATGCCTTTGAGACCAACAGGTGCGCCTGCTTGTGGATGACAGTGTGCCACCAGTCGCATAACCTCACCGTCGTATCCCTTTTGCCATGAGGAAACCACTAGAGGCAGAACTGAGTAGACTGCTAGCACTCGACATCATTGCGAAGACAGGAGGGCCAACACCGTGGGTGTCTCCGGTTGTTCTACTGCCCAAGCCACACGACCAGGAAGCTTTGCGGATGTGCGTAGACATGCGATGCGCCAACAAGGCGATCTGCCGTGAGTGGCACATCACGCCAACAGTTGACGACATCCTCACAGCACTCAATGGAGCAACGGTGTTCTCCGAACTCGACCTCAAGGAAGGGTACCACCAGCTTGAGCTGCACGAAGACTCCCGGCCAATAACAACTTTCTCGACACACGCCGGACTCTTCAGGTACAAACGTCTGAATTTTGGTATCAACTCAGCAGCAGAAGTATTTCAATACACCATACGACAAGTCCTCTGCAGCTGGAACTAGGGTAGTTGCCTACGGAAGCCGAGCCTTGACGGCTGTGGAAACGCGGTACTCTCAGATAGAACGAGAGATGTTGGCTGTGGCCTGGGGCATCGAGCACTTCCATATCTACTTGTTCGGCACCAACTTTCGAGTGCTGACCGACCAAAAACCGCTCATCAACATCCTGTCTAGCCCACGTTCTTCTCCGTCAGCGAGGATCGAACTTCTGGCACTTCGACTTCAGCCATACAGCTTCGACGTCGCACACACCAAGGGGTCAACTAATCCCAGTGATTACTTGACTCGACATCAATCACAGACCCCACCAGACAAGAAAGACAAGCTTCGCAGCGTTGTAAAGATGTCAGAAGACTACGTGGCCTGCATGATACAGCACAGCCTACCATGCGCCATGACCTTGGAAAATGTCTTAAAGTAAACCAAGGCAGACCCCCAGCTGACCGAGGTGACCAAACCTTGCAACTGCCGCAACTCGACAAAAAGGCCTGGAAGGATGAACTTCTCCGTCCATTTTCCCGAGTAATGAGTGAACTCAGCGTGTCCAAAGAAGGACTGATCCTGCGAGGGACGCGAATTGTAATACCTACCAACCTACAGCATGAGGCAGTCCACCTTGCACACAAGGGGCACCAAGGAATCGTCAAAACAAAACAACTGCTGCGAAGCAAGGTCTGGTTCCCTGGGATAGACAAGCTCGTGGACAGTATTGTGAAGAGCTGCATTACCTGCCAGGCGGCAACATCTCAACATCACCGCGATCCACTGCCTGCGTCCAAACTACCGAAGTGTCCTTGGGCTGAGTAGCCTCTAGACTTCGCTGGACCATTTCCTGATGGCAAGTACGCAATGGTCCTCATCGACGACCACTCATAATACCCAGTAGTAAGCATTCTGCGAACACTTGCCGCACCAGTTATCATCAGCAAACTACGTACCATTTTCGCCCAGTTCGGCATTCCAACGGTGCTAAAGACTGACAATGGTCCTCCAATTCACAGCGGAGACTTATCAAGATTCGCTGAAGAATTCGGGTTCAAACACCACCGTGTCACGCCACTTTGGCCCGAGGCAAACGGTGAGGTAGAGAGATTTATGAGAACGCTCAACAAGCTAGTCTTGGCAAGCAGAATCGGGGGGCAAGGACTGGACGGACGAGCTACAATCCTTCTTGCTAGCCTACCGCTCCACCCCACATGGCTCCACAGGAACTTCACCGTTTGAGCTCCTCTTCAAGCGCACAGTGTGCAACCTACTTCCGGTAATCCCCGACCCAGACAACAGTAGCCCTACTCACATCAAGGCACAAAGAAACGACGAATCCAGGAAAAGATACAACAAAGAATTTGCTGATGCACGCTGATGCACGGCGACACAATCAGCACCACAAGTTTGTACCCGGTAAAATTATAATCTGCAGACAGGAGGGGCGTAACAAGTTCACTCCGTTCTACGACCGCAAGCCCTACACAGTCATTGAGGTTCATGGACCTCGCGTCAAGGCCTCTCGCAATGGGAAAGTCATAAAGCGAACCGCCGCCTTCTTCAAGGATGCGTCGCAAGTGATCATCACGCCTGGACGAGAAGACCTGGACATCAAAGACCCAAGGTCCCCTCCATCCAACCCTGGCAATCGCATCTCTTTAGACCATCGCTTATCTCTGGCCCCATCTGCACCGCCAGTGATCCAACCAAACAGTGCCGGGCGCCGTTATCCGACAAGAGTTCGTCGCGCTCCTCGTCATCTTTCGGACTTTGCAGTATAGAAAACTTTTCCTTTCTAACGAAATTTTGATGAGGAATTTTGGTTTTTCAAAGAAACATTGCAAGTTAACGGAATGTATCAGAGCAAACTAAATCTTTGAGCCTTATTTTCTCAGGGGGATAACTGGTGTGAAAGAGAACTCTTCTACCTATCGGACATTTTCAGCATACTTTTAGTGTGGCAGTCTTGTCAAAACTATTTTCTCAGGGGGATAAATGAAGTGTATACTGTAGTGGAATCTAGCCATAAATCTGGCTTGGTCTGGCAACTGTAACACTCTCCAAGATGGCTACCAACTAACGAATAAACGCCAGTACATTGCTGTTTCAATCAACAGGAATCCTTCCCTTTGATTTGACCAGCCACCTTCCAGCGTTTCATGGACACAGTGCTGGCAGGTCTGAAATGACAGAGCTACCTCGTCTACCTGGACGATGTCGTGCTTCAAGCCATCAAGACCGCTGGCCTGTCACTCAAGCAAACAAAGTGTCGATTCACCTATAGTGAACTTACGTTCCTTGGCCACGTCGTGAACAACAAAGGTGTTCTCCCTGACCCCGAGAAGACCCGCGCCGTAGCTGCATTTACGCCGCCGTCTGACAAGAAGGCCGTGACAAGATTCTTCAGACTCTGTGCCTACTACAGACGATTTGTTCGGTACTTCGCCAAGTTGTCTGCACTTCTAACGAACCTCACGAAGGACGCCGTGAAGTTTGAATGGGCAGAACACCAGCGGTCATTCGATGAGCTCAAACGAAGACTCCAGACGCCCCCGATTCTTGGCCATTTCGACCAGTTCGCTGAAACAGAGATCCACACGGACGCCAGTAACACCGGACTTGGCGCGGTACTAGTCCAAATGCAAGACGGGGAGAGCGAGTCATCGCGTACGCGAGTCGGACGCTGTCCAAGACGTAGACGAACTACTCAACGATTGAAAAGGAGTACCTTGCTGTCGTCTGGGCAATAACAAAATTCAGCCTATATTTGTATGGAAGTCCTTTTCGCGTCGTAACGAACCACCACTCGCTCTGCTAGCTCGCCAACCTGAAGGACCCCTCCGGACGCCTCGGCCGCTGGAGCCTACGACTGCAGGAGTTCGACATGACCGTGGTGTACAAATCCGACCGGAAGCACAATGACGTCGACTGCCTGTCAAGGGCCCCAGTCGAGGTCAGTCCTGCCTGCATCAAAGACGACGACGATGAGTGTTTCCGCGGCGCTCTAGATCTCAGCGACATGGCAGCACTCAAGCGAGACGACTCTGAGCTACGAGCGCTCATCGAGCACCTAGAGGGACAAGCGAATACGGTTCCCCGTGCTTTCTTACGAATTCTGCCTACCTTCTCCACACGGCAAGGGGTGCTGTAAAAAGACAAGTTCGTGAACAACAGCATAGCATGGCTGTTTGTTATTCCTTCCAGCCTTCGAGAAGAAATCTTCCAAGGATGCCATGACGACACAACAGCTGGACACCTTGGCTACAGCAGGACGCTCGCCAGGATTCGAGAAAAGTAACACTGACCGAGGCTACCGAAGACCGTTCACCTCTACACTCGTTCATGCCACGAGTGTCAGCGACGCAAGAAACCACCGGCGAAGCCGTCAGGACTTCTGCATCCGATTTCTCCCCCGCCCACGCCGTTCCAGCAGATAGGAGTGGATTTACTTAGCCCTTTCCCGCCGTCAACGTCGGGAAACCGCTGGATAATCGTCGCCACCGATTATCTCACACGTTACGCCAAGACGAAAGCCCTTCCATCAGGTACGGCTGTTGAAGTCGCGTAGTTTTTTATCGAGTCCATTGTCCTCCCGCACGGCGCCCCTGAAGTCCTCATCAGAGGCCGTGGATCTTCAAATTCGTTCATGGCCCAGCTGACGCAAGAGAACCACTGCGTACCATCTGCAGAGAAATGGACTACCAGAACGACTAAACAAAACTATCGCCGACATGATCGCCATGTATGTCGACGTAGAGCACAAGACTAGGGACGAGGTGTTACCCTACGTCACGTTTGCTAACAACATGGCGGTGCAAGAGACCACAGGAGTAACCCCGTTTCAGCTGGTGCATGGCAGAAAAGTAACGACCATGCTCGACGCGATGCTACCCCACGAACCAGCTGACGATGGGATCCCCGACGCCCAGGTGGTTGCTCAACGAGCCGAAGAAGTTCGCCAGCTCGCCCGACTACGACTTCAAAATCAACAACGTGTCGACGCCACATGGTACGACCTTCGCCGGATCGAAGTTCGCTTCAAGCCCGGAGACCGTGTGTGGGTTTGGGCCCCAATACGACGACGCGGTCTAAGCGAGAAACTTCTAAAGCGCTACTTCGGACACTACAAAGTACTTCGTCGACTGGGGGATCTGAACTACGAGGTGATGCCCGACGGAACACGGACTTTATCACGCCGCGCCCTCCACGACCGGAAGTCGTCCACGTCGTGCGCCTCAAGCCGTACCACGCGTGCTATAAGACTGCGAACTGTGATCTTGTGCAAGACTTGAGAGGATTCTGATTTGCCAGCCTCCGTATTTTCCCATTCTTTTGTTTGTTTTGCTCCGATTGTTTAGTTGCCTACCACGTGGCATCGATACGATGCCTTTTTAAAGGGGGGAGTTATGCCACGTGCCGCGGCGAGCGACCGCGTGCATGCCCGAGTGGTTACCGCGCTTGACTGTGGCGCGGAAAGTCTAGGTTCGATTCCAGTCAGTGGAATGCTCTTTTATTTATTCTTTCAA